AACTCAGCACAAGGATGGTGGGAACTCCTCATAATGGGCACAGCAGGTGTACAGACCTGGGAACTCAGCACAGGGATGGTGGGAATCCCTCATAATGGGCACAGCGGGTGTACAGACCCAGGAACTCAGCACAGGGATGGCGGGAACCACTCATAATGGGCACAGCGGGTGTACAGACCCGGGAACTCAGCACAGGGATGGTGGTAACCCCTCATAATGGACACAGCGGGTGTACAGACCCGGGAACTCAGCACAGGGATGGTGGGAACCACTCATAATGGGCACAGCGGGTGTACAGACCTGGGAACTCAGCACAGGGATGGTGGGAACCCCTTATAATGGGCAGAGCGGGTGTGTAGACGCAGGGACATGGCCCAGGGATGTTGGGAACCCCTCATAATGGGCACAGCGGATGTACAGACCTGGGAACTTGGCACGGGGACAGTGGGAACCCCTCATAATGGGCACAGCAAGTTTGCAGACCTGGAACTTAGCACATGGATAGTGGGAACCCCTCATAATCGGCAAAGGAGGTGTTTAGGATGTGAACTCATTGTAACAATGGTGGGCACCCCTTAAAAAGGGTAAATAAAGTGTACTTACCTAGGGAATCCCTCAAACATCACAGCAAGCATTCAGACCCGGGAACCCAGTGCAGGGATGGTGGGAATCCCTCATAATAGTCACAGTGAATGTGATGACCCAGGATCTACACACAAGGATGGTGGGAACCCCTTATCATGGGCACAGCAGGTGTACAGACCTGGGAACCCCTGATATTGGGAACATAAGGTGTGCAGATCCTTGAATTGCAGGGATGGTAGGAACCCATGGTAGGAACATAATGGGCACAGCAAATGTAAAGATCTAGGAACTCAGCGCTGAGGTGGTGGATACCCATCATAATAGACACCAGGGATGGTGGGAACAGCAGGTGTGCAGACCCAGGAGCTCAATGCAGGGATGGTGGGAACCAGTGGCGGGCTGACAACTCATGGGGCCCCCGGGCAATGGGGGATCATGGGGCCCCTGTGTCCTTGCCCCCACTCAAAGCGCACCCAAAAAAGCCTATAAAAAAGGTACCAGGGGCATTTCATGGGGCCCCCTACTGACCCTTGGCCCTCGGGCAGTGCCTGAGTGCTGGAATGGTCAGTCCACCCCTGGTGGGAACCCCTCATAATTACATGTGAATGGGTCTGTATATTTACCTGGTCCTGCACGTTTCTCCTTGTGGGCCCCCTGGGGTTTTCTTTACCAAATCCTCCTCCTCCACTTTTCTTTGATTCTGCATTCATTCCTGGAGTGGAGTGGAAGACGGTTTTTGCTGGGAGGCACATATGGGAGGCACATATGCAAACTGTTGTAATTCTCAAATTACTGTGTACCCTCAAATTAAAGCTGACAGTCTGCAGTTAAAGCACATCTTGTTAGTTTCATTTCAAATCCATTGTGGTGGTGTATAGAGCCAAAAATGTTAGAATTGTGTCGATGTCCCAATATTTATGGACCTGACTGTACATGTACCCACTTACGTAAGACAACTGTTGGCCGACAACCATGTTTGTGATCATGAATATACACTCCTAAGTGATGGTGAAGGAGACCAAGGCTGGTTGGAGATGGGGTACTGCAGACAGTTCTTAGAGAAGACATCATGATGTATAACGCCCTTTCAGCGTTACCTATAATGCTACCACCTCCCCCTACCCACTTATGTAAGAAAACTGTTGGCCAACAACCATGTTTGTAATCATGAGTATGATATCATATGTATACACTACTAGGTGATGGTGAAGGAACCAAGGCTGGTTGGGGATGGGGTACTGCAGACAGTTCTTAGAGAAGACATCATGATGTATAACGCTCTTTCAGCGTTACCTATAATGCTACCACCTCCCCCTCACTCCCCCTCTCTGTTGGGGTCCCTCAAGGCTCTGTCCTCAGGCCCCTTCTCTTCTCCATCTACACCTCCTCCCTTGGCCAACTCATACACTCTCACGGCTTCAACTACCACCTCTATGCCGACGACACAAATCTATCTCTCAACCCCCCACCTCACCCCCTCGGTCTCCGCCCTAATCACACACCTACTGAGCGACATATCAGACTGGATGTCGCTCCACTTCCTTAAACTGAACCTCTCCAAAACCGAGTTTCTTGTCTTCCCTCCAGCCCGGACACCACCCCCCATTGACTTCTCCGTCACATCCAACAACGCCACCATCAAACCCACCCCGCAGGCCAGAGTACTGGGTGTCATTCTGGACTCCAACCTATCCTTCCAGCCCCAAGACCAATCTTTAACAAACTCGTGCAGACTCCACCTCCGCAACATCGCCAAAATACGCACGTTCCTAACCCCAGAAACCAGTAAACAGCTCATCCACTCCCTCATCGTATCACGACTCGACTACTGCAACTCCCGCCTCACTGGCCTGCCTCGCCGCTGGCTATCCCCGCTTCAGTCGATCCTGAATACGGCTGCCAGACTCATTCACCTTTCCAAACGCTCTATCTCCGCCACCCCCCTCTGCCAATCCCTCCACTGGCTTCCGATTGCGCAACGGATCAAATTCAAAATTCTAACACTGACGTACAAAGCTGTCCACCATACTGCCCCGAACTACATCTCTGACCTAATATCCAAGTACCGCCCAGCACGCACACTCCGCTCCTCACAAGACCTCCTTCTCTCTAGTTCCCTGGTCTCCTCCTCCCATGCCCGCCTCCAGGACTCCTCCAGGGTGTCACCCATCCTCTGGAACTCCCTGCCCCAACCCATCAGATTATCGCCTACTCTCCTCTCCTTTAGGCGCACCCTGAAAACCCATCTCTTCAGGGAAGCCTACCCCACCCCCTGCTAACCTGCCGACCTCCTCCACTCTTCCTACCACTCCATCCCCCACAGCTATCTCCTCCTGTACCACTATCCCCTCCCTCCTAGATTGTAAGCTCCAAGGAGCAGGGCCCTCGATCCCCTCATGTTTTGCATTGTATTGGTGTTGTGTTGTCACATGTTCTGTCCCCCTTTGTAATGTACAGCGCTGAGCGAATTATTGGCGCTTTATAAATACTGTATAATAATAATAATAATAAGACTACCCACTTATGTAAGAAAACTGTTGGCCAACAACCATGTTTGTAATCATGATTATGATATGATATGTATACACTACTAGGTGATGGTGAAGGAGACCAAGGCTGGTTGGGGATGGGGTACTGCAGACAGTTGTTAGAGAAGACATCATGATGTATAAGACTACCCACTTATGTAAGAAAACTGTTGGCCAACAACCATCTTTGTAATCATGAGTATACACTCCTAGGTGATGGTGAAGAAGACCAAGGCTGGTTGGGGATGGGGTAATGCAGATAGTTCTTAGAGAAGACATTGTGATATATAAAACTACCCAATTACGTAAGACAACTGTTGGCCAACAAACATGTTTGTAATCATGAGTATACACTCCTAAGTGATGGTGAAGGAGACCAAGGCTGGTTGGGGATGGGTAGTGCAGACAATTCTTAGAGAAGACAACGTGATGTATAAGACTACCCACTTATGTAAGACAACTGTTGGCCAACAACCATGTTTGTAATCATGAGTATGATATCATATGTATACACTACTAGGTGATGGTGAAGGAGACCAAGGCTGCTTGGGGATGGGGTAGTGCAGATAGTTCTTAGAGAAGACATTGTGATGTATAAAACTACCCAATTACGTAAGACAATTGTTGGCCAAAACAACAACCATGTTTGTGATCATCAGTATACAGTCCTAGGAGATGGTGAAGGAGACCAAAGCTAGTTGGGGATGGTGTGTAGTTCAGACATTTCTTAGAGAAGACCTGCTGCTACATACATGTACCCAATTACGTAAGACAACTGTTAGCCAGAAATAATCTCTGTGGTCTTCATTCAAACACACCTAAGCATTGGAAAAAGTGACCAAGGCTGGTTGGGGATGGAGTAGTGCAGACAGTTCTAAAGCCTAGTACACACTGTGGGAAAATCGGATGACCGATCGTCCCATTTTCCACAAACGTGCATATCATGATGTAGTCGGAATGGTATTGACTTGTAAGACAATTCTCAGCTGACAAAAAGCAAGTGTAGCTATGTACTAGGGTAGTAGAAGAAGTGTAAGGTTGTACTTTGCTTCTGATCATACGCATTTTTTTCTATTCGATTATTTTCATACGTTTACTGTACACACTAAACAAAAATCAGACATTGTGTTCAACTAAGATAAAAAATTTTCTAGCTTGCACCCTCAATTTTTGTCATCCAAAAAGTGTGATTTGGCAGTCGAAAGCACTATACTAACGATCAGATAATTGTTCCTCGTAAGGAAATTTTCATACAATTTTCTTATTGTGTGTACTGGCCATTACAGGAGACACCTTGATATATGCTGTAAATGTACGCAATTACTTAAGACAACTGTTGGCCAACAATCACGTCTATGATCTCAGCAAACACTCCTAGGCGATGGTAAAGGAGACCAAGGCTGGTTGGGATAGTACAGACATTTCTTAGAGAAGACGCAGTGATATATAAATGTACCTAAAGACACAAGACAGCTGTTGGCCAATCATGCCTGTGGTCTTCAGGAAACACTCCTAAGTGATGGTGAAGGAAACCAAGGCTGGTTGAGGATGGAGTAGTGTAGACAATTCTTAAAGAGGACATCTTGATATATAAATGTAGCCAAAGACATAAGACAACTGTTGGCCAACAATCAACGTCAGATTGGAATAAAGTTACCATTATAGAAGCTTATTTTTTTCCTGACAGATTGTTTTTGAGTGGAGTAAATTGATTGGCCAGCCTGGATTATATAAGACCATCACGTTTCCTCCAGCAGAAGGGCAGCTTTGGGGGTCAACAGAAGATCATTAGTATCTGATTCTGTTCCCCTGTCTGGCACCACACAGTGTCCACAGTCAGGTTAAGGCCCCATGTGATTTCCTAAAAGGACATCACTCGCACTAGGATTAGGTACCTGGCTTCTCCACTCTGTGGACTCGGAGATGGGTGATGAGTTGAGTCTTCTGCGCAAAGCCTTTCCCGCACTCACTGCATGAAAAAGGCTTTTCACCCGTGTGTGTTCTGCGGTGCCTCACAAGGTCAGAATTCTTGGTAAAAGCTTTCTGGCATTCTGGGCAGACATATGGCCTCGGCCGCTCCTTTTCACTTGTGTGAATCCTCCGGTGCATAACTAGGCGCCCTTTCTCCTGGAAACACATGCTGCAGTCTGAACAAGAAAAGACCTTATTAACTGGGTGGAGTCTGCGGACATGTATAGCGAGATTCTTCTTGTTGCTGAAACATCGACTGCACACAGTGCAAGAGTAGGGCTTCTCGCCAGTGTGGACCCATACGTGGCGGATGAGTTTGGATTTCACTTGAAACTGTTTCTCACAGTCAGAACATGAAAATGGCTTTCTCATAGCATGATGTTTTTCATGGTCTTCATCACTAGCAAAGTCTTTCCGACACTCTGAACATCCATAGTAGCCAATGTCAGCGTCCACCTTCTGATCTTCAACAAAACCTGATTTCCACATAGAATATTCACTCCGTTTGGAACAGGTTTCTGATTTGCAGTGAGATGATCCCTCAGAATTGATGTCTGGGGTTACGGGGCTTTCTCCTGGAGGATCTTGTGTGATGTCAAGGTGCCCTTCCAGGATATTCCTCATGTACAGGTTTGCTGGTAAGAATGTAAAAAGAGGACTGTCACTTTTTATTAACAGTATCTGACCACAGTTTAACAGTAACATTCAATATTCTTCGGCTGAGATATAAACAAGCTGACATCTCATTATAACTGCCCCCAATGGTCCGTTCATTGTCTACCAAACAGTTCTCCAATTCAATAGGTTCTCCAACTTGATGCCAGTTAGTCAATTAGTCTTTCGCAATCCTGACAGCACAAATAACCTCTACTGCTTAATACAGACCTTAATTAGTGCTACTCTGGACCCGTTGGCGCACAACACGACCAACAATTTAAACACCAGATCTCAAGAAGGACAGATGGTCCCGTTATTGCTTGTCTGGACTGCTGGATGGCCAAGATTTGCTGTAATTTTACTTTCCAGTATGTTTAAAGCATCACAACCATGTCACAACATCTTGGAAAGGTGAAAATGTTAAAAATAGGTAAACCACTTTTGTGTTCAAGAGTTGTTACTCACTTGTGCCAATCTGCATAGAGGATTCTTCTTCTTTAATCCTCACCACCATTTCGACCACCTCTTTAGACTGCTGATCAGCCCCCATATACATCTCAGTATCCTTTATATGTTCTGTTTTCATGTCTCTGAGATCTTCACTCTGGATCCACAAGAGGATGGAAAATCTTTAAACAGCAAACTAGCTCCATCCACACGTCATCTCTACATGTGATACAATGTGGAGTTACTTTGGAGTTTTTCCAAGACCCTCAGTTCAGTTCTGTCTACCTGAATAGGGTAAGGGATGTTGTGATGTTCCTGTCTGGAATCTGTGGAATAAGGAAGACTAGGACATCTCTTTGTAAGAATCCCCTCGTCCTTGTGTGGCTGATCCTCCATGATATCTGTCTCATCTTCACTGCCAATCTGTAAAAGATGAATACAAGGAGTACATCAAGTCTGCTCTTCATCCAGGGATGTGTCCTTGTAGACATCTTAATATCCCCACTTCTTCATAGAGACAGTAACATCCTGACTACTTATAGCACCATTTTTTTACCTTTTTACCCAAGAGGAACTCTTCAAATCATTTTCAGGTCTTTGGGAACCCTTGCTAAAATGGATTTATTGGTGGTCAGTTGGAAAAATTCATCTTACATTGGTGGCCAGTGGGAAGAATTCCCCTCTGTGATGGGAGTCAGTTTGGGAGGGGGGCCCATGGAACCCAGCTCACTTTGGAGAGGTGGGGAGACCCCTGTCTCAGCTCGCCATATCCCTCTTATGTGTAAATCACCCTGTGCCTGTTAGGGGTACAGGGTGATCTGTCCTAATATTGTGTAGGCTTTGTCTCAGACTGTGTAGACATCTCTAGGAGATAGGTGGGGTGGGGTGTTGTTGATGGTTTAATGTTATGTGGCTGCATCCCATTGTTCTATTATTTGTCTGGTTTGGGAGCAAACTATTATGGGATGCATGTGTTTATGTGTATTAGCTTAGTGGGGGGGGGGGTGTATCCAGCAGCCTTCCCTCCTGATGGGACTGTCTGCTGGTGTGAAGTTTGAATACCTGTGCATCTTTACTTACTAAATGTAGATTTCCCCACCCTGTGTCATTCTGCAGGGAGGGGGGATTGTCCCCGAGTGTATATATCTTGTATCTGTGTTCAAATAAAGTAGTCTACCTTTGGATTATTCAAGATTGGTGTTGTCTAGTCTTGTATGGTCGGCTGTGGTATCTGTGGTCGGTGTTCGGATGGGGAAGCGGTATTCTAACAGAAGTACTCAAGCGCAGTCTGAGTCAGTTCCGTTACACCCCCTTTACAGTGGTGGTCAGAATGCTACCCTTACAGACAGCTAAAATGATCACTGGGTTCATAAAGCTGGCACTGTCAACTGGCAATGACCCAGGAACTTTGCAAGTACCATCAAATGAGAGGTCAATCAGCCACGGTTCAATGAACCTATAGCAACTTTGGGAGAAACCCTTCTTGAGAATGGCTGTCTTATAGGAACCTGACACACACAATTGTACAGTCACCATCCAGCCACATCCCTTGTTTGTTACTGGATAATCTCCCATAATTCCTCTCTCAGCTCACCTCTCTGGTCAATAGTTCAGTTATCTTGTTTACCAGTTCCAGGATCTTTTGCACATTGGTACTCCTAGCTGTTATGGACTGTGATGGAGGCAATGTTAGAGACACTTGGTGGCCAAACTTCGCAACGGGATAACTCTGTGTATAAAAACAACAATGCCATTTGACCCATCCAGAACCCTCATTAGTCAGGTTTGTATTTTATTGATATAAATAAGAGTGATGTCATGTGACACTCCTGACATTTCTTACCTCTCCAGTCAGTAGGTAGATGATCTCCAGGGTAAGATCTAATATCTCCTTTATTCGTATTTTGCCCTTGTTCATTTTGACATGAGGTACAGCCTCAGGTGTGCGCGAAAATGAATCACCTTCAATGGGACCTTTGGGACAGCAAAAACGGTATATTAATAGAATGGAAAGTGGTTGTTAGACTAATACGACACCACAGAACCCAACATAACACCGCAAAACCCAACACATCACCACAGGACCCAACATAACACTGAAAAACACAACACCACATTACCCAGCACGGCACCACAGGACCTAGCACAGCACCACAGAACCCAACATAACACTGCAAAACCCAACATAACACTGCAAAACCCAACACAACACCACAGAACCCAACATAACACCGCAAAACCCAACATAACACTGCAAAACCCAACATAACACTGCAAAACCCAACATAACACTGCAAAACCCAACACCACAGGACCCAACACAGCATCACAGGACCCAGTACAACAACCCAGGAGCCAACACAGCACCCAGGAACCAACAGGGCCCAAAGCAGCACCACAGGACCCAACACCGCACCACAAGACCCAACACAGCATCACAGGACCCAACACAGCACCAAAGAACCCAACACAGCACCACAGGACCCAATGCACCACCACAGAACCCAATGGAGCACCACAGAACCCAACGTAGCACCACAGAACCCAACGTAGCACCACAGAACCCAACGTAGCACCACAGAACCCAACACAGCACCACAGGAACCAAAACACAGCACCACAGGAACCAAAACACAGCACCACAGGACCCAACACAGCACCAAAAAAAACCAACACAGCACCACAGGACCCAACGTAGCACCACAGGACCCAACGTAGCACCACAGGACCCAACGTAGCACCACAGGACCCAACGTAGCACCACAGGACCCAACGCAGCACCACAGGACCCAACGTAGCACCACAGGACCCAACGCAGCACCATAGGACCCAATGCAGCACCACAGGACCCAACTCAGCGCCACAGGACCCAACTCAGCACCACAGGACCCAACTCAGCACCACAGGACCCAACGCAGCACCACAGGACCCAAAGCAGCACCACAGAACCGAACGCAGCACCATAGGACCCAACATAATACCACAGGACCCAACACAGCACCACAGGACCTAACACAGTACCACAGGACCCAGCAGAGCACTACATGACCCAGCACAGCACCACAGGACCCACCATAACACCACAGAACTCAACATTGTGTAACCCATAGCAGCAGCAAACATCGGGATGGAAGACCTGGACCATATACAACCCCAAATCGAAAAACGTTGGGACGCTATGTAAAATCTCCATAAAACTGCAATTTGCAGAAATCTGTTTAAACTGGGAAAATGTTCCATTTTAATTTTAAAAAATGCTAATTGTGAAATTGATGGCAGCAACACATCTGAAAAAAAGTTGGAACAGGGCAGCAATAAGCTGGCAAAATAAATGGAACCAACAAGGAAGAGCTGGAAGAACTTTTTGCAATCAATCAGATTACTTGGCAACAAGTTAGTAACATGATTGGGTATAAAGAGGGCTTCTTAGAGAATCGGAGTGTCAAAGAAAGGCCCCTTTCACACAAGGCGCACTCCGCCATGTGGATCCGACTTCTCAGTGGGGAATCTGACCTCTGATCCCCACTGAGCAGGCGGATGACAGAGAGGACATGGACACAGCTCGCTATTCTCTATGGGGTGGTGGGATGTAAACGGACCGCATGTCTGTTTATATCCAACTGTCACCTGATCCGCTATATGGATGGGGAATGGATCCCCCGTCCATCTTTTTTTTCTGATTGGATGCAGGCGAGTGTCCATATACATCCACCTCTCTATAGAGAGCAATTGATGGTCCGCAGGTCCGCTTGACAAACGGACAGTGGACCTGAATCAACTGCCTGTATGAAAGGGGCTTAAAGATGGGCAGAAGTTCATTACTCTATGAAAAGCAGTGGGGCCTCTGATGGGAAGGGGGAAGTGCTGATGTGATGGGATTGGGGGGACTCCTGGTGACAAGGGGAGACCTCTGTGATGGAGGGGGACCTCTGGTGTGAAGCGGGCACTCTGATGTGATGGGAAGACTTATGATGGGATTGAGGACTGCTGGTGACAAGATGGATGAGACCTCTGATGTGATGGGGGGGACCTCTGGTGTGATGGGAAGACTCTATGACCTATGACGCGATTGGGACAACTCCTGACTCCTGGTGACAAGGGGAGACCTCTGATGTGATAGAGGGGGGACCTCTGGTGTGAAGCGGGGACTCAGATGTGATGAGAAGACCTATGATGTGATTGGGGACTCCTGGTGACAAGGGGTGACCTCTGATGTGATGGGGGGGACCTCTGGTGTGAAGCGGGGGTGACTCTGATGTGATGAGAAGACCTATGATGGGATTGGGGACTCCTGGTGACAAGGGGTGACCTCTGATGTGATGGGGGGGACCTCTGGTGTGAAGCGGGGACTCTGATGTGATGGGAAGACCTATGATGGGATTGGGGAATCCTGGTGACAAGGGGAGATCTCTAATGTGATGGAGGGGGACCTCTGGTGTGAAGCAGGGACTCTGATGTGATGGAAAGACCTATGGTGGGATTGGGGACTGCTGGTGACAAGGGGAGACTTCTGATGTGATGGGGGGGGACGGGACTTCTGGTGTGAAGCAGGGACTCTGATGTGATGGGAAGACCTATGATGGGATTGGGGACTGCTGATGACAAGGGGACCTCTGATGTGATAGGGGGGAACCTCTGGTGTGAAGATGGGAAGACCTATGATGGGATTGGGGACTGCTGGTGACAAGGGGAGACCTCTGATGTGATGGGGGGGACCTCTGGTGTAAAGTGGGGACACTGATGTGATGGGAAGACCTATGATGGGATTGGGGACTGCTGGTGACAAGGGGAGACCTCTGATGTGATGTGGGACCTCTAAGGTGAAGTGGGACCTCTGAGTTGAAGTGGGGCTTCTGACATGAAGTTAAAGTGGAATTATAGGCAAAACCTTTCTTCTTCTAGCATAAGGGAGAGTTAAACCCCCCTTTTTCTGCCATCTGTGTCCCATTGAGTAGTTTTCCCGTCACTCCCAAGCTCAAGGTGTCCACCGGAAAAAAAAAAAAAGTGAGACGGGAGAGCCGTTATAGTGTAGTAAATTGCTTAAAAAAATGACCCCAAAGTGTGATTCCACAACAGGAAGAAAGAAAATAAAAAATGACTTACTTCTTTTGAGGCTGTCACCACTCCTAGTGGTGGGAACACACAACCTTCCAAATGACCGGGACAGCAGACCTGATCCAACTGCCTCTGTGAATGGGGCCTAAAGATGTACAGAGGTTCATTACTCTATGAAAAGCTGTGGGGCCTCTGATGGGAAGGGGGAGAAGCGCTGATGTGATGGGAAGACCTACGATGGGATTGGGGACTCCTGGTGACAAGGGGAGACCTTAGGGGACAAGGGGAGACCTCACAATAGGAAGAAAGAAAATAAAAAATTACTTAACTCTTTTGAGGCTGTCATCACTCCTAGGGGTGGGAACACACAACCTTCCAAATGTGTGGGTAGAGAAAACCTGTATACAAGCATGATAAAGGTGGGCACTCTCTATGCCTCGGGACGTTACCGTCCTGGGTCCTCGGCTAGGTTCTCAGGCGGGTGTGTGCAATTGCTAAAGAGGAGTCTGCAATAATAACTTGTCGGTTGTCCGATCATCAAAGGCGTCTGAAGTTATATGTCGAAGAATGGGTTGGAGCCATTTACTCAACCCATTCTTTGACATATAACTTAAAGGTCACCTCTGCCGATAGGACCTACAATGGGTTATTTTCGCAGACTCTTCTTCTTGTACTTACCGATATCACGTCTGAGTTGTCTCACTCAATATGTAAATGTTTCGTATTGTTGGAGAATCACAGTTTGGTATGCTCTAGGCTGCAGACAGAGAGGACCTGTCATGACACTCACAGATGACGTACATTCTACGTAACCTTTCTCACATCACAGAACAGCTCCTGCACATTACCAGAGTAAAACACACCAGATGAGCCAAACGTACCTCCCTGTTTTACCGTCAGCTGGGCCATGACTGATGATGTCACACCCCTGGAGGTGCAGGGAACTCTGGGTAATGTAGTCAGTTCCAAGCAGCTGTGGATACCCTCACCCTCTTGTAGACTCATATATCTGCCATTCTCAACTTGGGTTCTGTAGGGTTTCTCCAGAGCAGACATTCTCAACCAAGGTTCCCTAGAGTTCCTCATATACACTCACCGGCCACCTTATTAGGTGCACCTTGCTAGTCCCGGGTTGGACCTCCTTTTGCCTTCAGAACTGCCCTCATTTTTCATGGCATAGATTCAACAAGGTGTTGGAAACATTCCTCAGAGATTTAGGTCCATAATGACATGATGGCATCACGCAGTTGCTGCAGATTTGTTGGCTGAACATCCATGAACTGTTGATACAAGGCAGGATGGGTCCACCACACCATGACACCACCACCACCAGCCTGAACCATAGATGCAAGGCAGGATAGATCCACCACAACATGACACCACCACCATCACCAACCCGAACCATTGATACAAGGCAGGATGGATCCATGCTTTCATATTGTCTATGCCAAATTCTGACCCTACCATCTGAATTTCGCACCTGAAATCCAGACTCATCAGACCAGACAACAATTTTTCAATCTTCTATTGTCCAATTTTGGTGAGCTTGTGCCAATTGTAGCCTCCGTTTCCCCTTCTTACCTGACAGGAGTGGCAACCAGTGTCGTCTTCTGCTGCTGTAGCCCATCTGTTTCAAGGTTGGACATGTTGTGCATTCAGGGATGGTCTTCTGCATACCTTGGTTGTAACGAGTGGTTATTTGAGTTACTGTTGTCTTTCTATCATTTCCAACCAGTCTGCTCATTCTCCTCTGACCTCTGACATCAACAAGGCATTTTCCTCCACACAACTGCCGCTCACGGGATATTTTCTCTTTTTCTCTTTCTCTGTAAACCCTAGAGATGGTTGTGCATGAAAATCCCA